GAGGATAAATTTGTTACATGAGTTTTTGGTAGTCAAAAAATTAATTTGGGGTAAATTTGTTCCTAGTGTACTAATTTGGGGTTTTCGTGATATTACCCCTTTCTTTTTTTTGCCTCTCTTTACTCTCCTTTCTCACCATTTGAATATTAAATATACCTTTTTTTCCTAAGTACGTATTCACAGCTTTTACAACTTAAGGAACTTATAAGAATTTACGTTATATTTTCTTACATTCATTGTCTTAAATATGTTTCCAACGTCCATGCCGACAAGTAATTTGAACCAGTAACGGTTTTTAGAAAAAAAAGGGATAAGTATACTAAAAGTCCTAAAACTTGTCATGAAAGTGCAATTATGTCCTAAAACTTTCAAAAAGTACAAACAAGTCCTAAAACTTGTCACGAAAGTGTATTTGAATCCTAAAATTTTCAAAAAGTGCAAACAAGTCCTAAAACTTATCACGAAAGTGCAAACAAGTCTTAAAATTTATAACAAAAGTGCAAACAAGTCTTAAAACTTTCAAAAAGTACAATCAATGGAAGGATTTGATTAAACTAATTTGACAAGTTTTAAGACTTATTTGCACTTTCGTGACAAGTTTTAGGACTTGTTTGCACTTTTTGAAAGTTTTAGGACTCAAGTGCACTTTCGTGACAAGTTTTAAAACTTGTTTGTACTTTTTGAAAGTTTTAGAACTCAATTGCACTTTCGTAACAAGTTTTAAGACTTTGAATGCACTTATCCCGAAAAAAATGTAAAAATTTAGTTATTGTTAAAAAGAACTTTAATATGACTTTAATTATGTTTTTTTAATAGGGGGCATATAGTACGATGAATGTTTTGTTTCTGGTCTAAAAGTCAAACCAAAATCTACAAACCCTTAACTACATTAATTAAATCGGTATATTATGGTAATAACCAAAAGAATTTGGTCTATATGGGTCATCACGAGGAGATACATAACACCCCATAAAAGGCCTTTACACACAAACTTACCTTATTACTTTGTTCTTTTACTCTTGCGATAAGTGTATTGGAAGTATTCAAACTTATCACGAAAGTGTAATTTAGTTTTAAAACTTTCAATAAGTGCAATTAAGTCCTAAAACTTGTCACTAAAATGCAATTGAGTTTTAAAACTTTCAAAAAGTGTAATCAAGTACTAAAATTTGTCAAATTGATCCAATCAAGTCCTTAGGCTGATTATACTTTTTGAAAATTTTAGGACTCGGTTGCACTTTTATGACAAGTATTAGGATATGATTGTACTTTTTGAAAGTTTTATGACTTTATTGCACTTTCGTGATAAGTTTTAGAACTTGATTGCACTTTTTAATAGCTTTAGGACTAAATTGTACTTTTGTAACAAGTTTTAGTACTTTTAGTGCACTTATCCCTTTACTCTTTTAATATTTTCCGTCAATGTAATTTTTTTTTTAATTTAACAATTTAAGTGGTGTTTTATGAGTATTTGTAAGGTGATACGTGGTGCTCTTTTCACTATATGTATATATAGTATTCAATGAAAACAATTATAGACGTAACTTTTACATCTATCTATAATTAAGACTTCGGCGATTCATCAAGATCATTCATCTCATTTTAGGAGTAAAATTTGTATATTTGTTTGGGTGGATACAAAAGCTCCGTAATAACTTGTATTAATACTTCTTGTCAAAATATAAAATATTAACTATCAAAAACTTGAAAAAAAAATAAGTATGTGAATTTTTTTGACACCATCAATATAGTTAACGATAATCTTATAAAAAGTCATACATTTAATGTTGAAAGATCCAAATGTTAGTGGGTTTATTAAGGCTGCATTTGGTGGTTCAGATTTGGTGATAGTATAAAAGGTCGCATAAGAAATCTGGCGTAGGGGGTGGGATAAACTTGGATTGGATATAAAATTTTAAAAATTAACTTTAACAATTCCCACGCACCAAGAAAACCTCACCTCAAGCGAGTCTCACCGTCCTTAGTGTTTCTCTTCGGAGGCACCCCACTACCACTCCGGTGGCCGTCCACCGTGATGGTCCCTCACTCCGGCATCCTTGAGTATTCTTGCCGGTTCCCTTGCTCACGGCTCACTTGGAAGGCTAGGGCTCTCACCTCATTTGTGGCTCCCTCCCTCTCTTTCTCAGTCGGTTTTCAAGCTTTTCCACTATATCTGAATTATCTCTCGGTTCCTCTCTCTGCTTCACCTCTGATTATTCATTCTCGGCCTCCATTATTCCACGATCTCTCTCTTGGTCAACTCTGAACTAGTCGTTCATCAAGTGTTTGATGAAACGCCAGAGAGAGATCCTCCTCTCATTCATTTTCAAATTTTGCATAATGGAAGAGGTCATGTCTGTTGAAAGTCGTGAAGCTCCCAAGGTTGATTTCCTAGAGATTACTTGTTAACGACAAAGGTCGAGAAGATTTGAGTTGTTACATACACGAGGAGCCCCTCAGAGATAGCATTTTCAAAGATTTTAAAAGAACAAGATTTTCAATTCTATCTTAGGTTGCAAATTTTTAAAGATTTCAAATCCTATCTTAGATTGCACCAAACATTTGATGGGATATTTTTATAATCGGGAAGATATTCGGAGGATTTTACATCCCACTTTATCTTATCATATCCCAATTCAAATCTGGATGACCAAACGCAACCTATTTTCAATTGATTATTCAACATCTTTATTTGATCTAGTGAAATTTTATGTTGGATAATATTTTCCTTAATTAATGTTTATTCCCAAAGACTAAATAGGTTATCATTCATCCAAGTTAGATATTTTCTTTTGAGATTAAGTTGATTATGGAGCCTACAGCTTCCAAAATGACTCATAGGGCTAAATGGGTTGGCTTGCTAGCAATTTCCTTCTAAAAATGACCTGCCTAGCCCGATCATTTTTTTTGGTAGAAAATTAAATAAGCTTTTTGTTTTCATGGGCAATGATTTTAGGCTTGCTACTAGGTTGGACCCACTTGTTGATAGATCTACCCAATGTGTCGATTATGTAAAATAATAGTAGATGTTAAATGTCGTCCTTGTTCTTTAAAGTTAAAAATTAAAAACAATTATGTATATTTCGGTTCGGGAAGTAAACTCACATTGTAATAGCGACTTGTACTTCCATAACAAAGAGGGGGGCAATATACTGGCATGACATGAAAAATGGAGCATAACCAGTAAACTTATCACTGATTCTTGAAACGTGATTGATTATACGCAGCGAAAGGAATTTAGACAACAATGTCTATCCGGGCATGAGATAAGCAACTTGGAGATTTTTACCTAAACAATTTGCAAATATTTGCCAAGCAAGAATCTGAAAAAGACGAAAGACACTTTCCCAATGGTGAATAAACAGGAAAACCCACAAATAGATCTGGTCTTTGCACCATTTTGCTGCTGCTGCTAGTCATGGCCACGGTTCGGAACCGATCGGTTCCGGTTCGGAACCGGCGGTTCCGGTTCGGAACCGGCGGTTCCGGTTCGTGGCCAAGTATGAGCCGGACGGTTCCGGGCCGGTTCCGGTTCCGGTTCAGGTTCGGAACCGGTCGGTTCGGAACCGGTTCCGGGCCGGTTCATAATTTTTCTTTTCTGTTTTTTTTCTTTTTCTTTTCCTTTTCTTTTTTTTTCTTTTCTTCCTCCGCCGGCCATAGCTGGGGCCGGCGGAGGTCGCCGGCCTCGCCAGATCGGGCGAGGGCTCGACCTTGCCGGCGTCGGGCGAGGCCGGCGAGGCTCTACCTCGCCGGCAACTGGCGAGGTCGGCGAGGTCGAACCCTTGCCAGATCTGGCGAGGCTCGACCTCACCGGCAACTGGCGAGGCCGGCCTCCCCTGAGGCCGGCGAGGTCGAACCCTCGCCAGATCTGGCGAGGCCGACCTCGCCTGCAACTGGCGAGGCCGGCCTCGCCCGACGCCGGCGAGGTCGAACCCTCGCCAGATCTGCAGCTTCTTCTTTTTTTTTTTTTTTTGAACCGGCGGTTCCGGGCCGGTTCAAAAATTTCTGGAACCGGAACCGGGCCCGTAGGGCACGGGCCGGTTCCGATTCCAAACCGCGAGCCCGGTCAACGGGCCGGGCCCGGGTTTGACTGGGCCGGTTCCGGTCCGGTTCCGGGCCGAAACCGGCCCGTGGCCATGACTAGCTGCTGCTGCTCATCCCCCCAACCACCCCATTTGCTTCCCCCAATCACTACCGCCCATCATCACGTTGCCTCAGCTCGTCCCCCTCCTCCTCTGATTTCTCTCAGACCCCTTTTGTCTCGTCACATTACAACCAAAAAAAATAAATTTACAAAAATTTAAAAAAGAACAGAGAAAAAGGGTCGCTTCTTTCTCACCAAAACCAACCAGAACCGGACCCGCCTAACTTTGCAACGCATACAGGAAAAAATCAGAAATTCACGGTAAAAAGGTGAACCCCCTAAACTTTTTCTTAGACATGAAAAGCAATTAAATAAAATATTTCATTTTAATTTGATTTTCTTGTGAGTTTTATCCAGAGGTGTGAGCAACTGGACCGGGTTTTTCATTGATTCTTGCCAAGGGTTTCCATGAAAATCAATGAAATTTAGACAACAATGTTTATGCACCTTGGAGAAAGATAAGAGGTTGAGTTGCGTGGTTCCGCCTCCAAAGGGAACCGACCTCTGATTCCTTTTACCGGAAAAAATGAAACCAGAAAATGAAATAAAAAAAAAAACAGATTCTCAAGTGGACAAGTTCCAAACAATTCAAAGGCAAATAGAGTAAGTTCCAGGTTTCCAAAAATCGGAACCGTTATAATAGCGTAGGTTCCACTCTCGAACAAATTATTCCTATAATTTTCTTTGAATTACCCATTTTAATTATATTGCGCTTTTTATATAAAAAATTGAAATTTAATTGATTTTGAGTGCGATAACATGTTTAGCACTGCAAAAGTAATTGCCGACGAGTGCGGCAATGATTAATCAGGACTAAAATTTTCAATACATAAGATAATGAGCCTCAAACCCGACGTACGAACATCAACGCAATGTTTCTGCGTGAAGACCACTTAAAGTAATAACAAAATAAAATAACATATTGTTCGCATCTAGGAAATAAGAGACTGGCTCGGGCAAAAAGTGATCAAATAGTCCGACCCGGTACACGTGCACGTGCTCGTGGCGTCGTCGTACGCGTAGCTGTATGCTGTCGGGCAGGCCCTCTTGAACATCTGCGAGTACCGCGACGGCCCGCACGTCTGCGGCGTCCCGTGGTCGCCGGTGCAGCAGTACTCCGGCGTCCTGAACGCCTCGCACGCGCTCTTGCACGCCACCACCCGCCCCGACTCGTCGGCGACCCTCAGCTCCGCCGGGCAGTCGGCGTTGATGTCCACCAGGCAGCCCGCGTACTGGCAGTCGCCGGTGCCGCCGGTCGCCCGCACCCCCATCCCCAAGTTGTAGCCGTCCACAAGGCTCACGTCGTAGAAGTCCATGCCGCCAGCGTTCGGGGCGGCGACGGTGAACTCCACCAGGGTCGCCGGCGGGGCTCCTCCGCCGGTGCACTTGAGCCCGCCGGGGCAGTCGCCCGTGACGCAGGTCCCGACACCGGACCCGTCGAAGCTGCAGCCAGTGCGGCCCCAGAAGCGACCGGACCAGCCCGCCGGGGCCGTGAGCTGGACGGAGCCGCCCGGGGCCAGGGCGAAGCCGCCGTCGCCAAGGGCGGCACCGTTGCCAGAGAGAGTGCCGGGCCACACGGTATAGCTGCATTGGTTCTGGAGGGTGAAGACCGTCGCTGATACAACAGCATTGCCTGCCCAAAAAACAAGAAAGAAATCAGTACAAATCTTTTTCGTCAAGTCTCGAACTTTTCGAGCGATGAAATCTCGCCATCTTTCACTAATTTTGCCAAGATTGAGGGGTTAGATCTTGCTTAACTCAACACTTAAATTTATACAACTCATGCAAACAGTAGATTTTGCATGAAGAGGGCAAGAGTGCAGACATGGAAAGCTTCCAAATTGTGGTTAAAATAACCGAAAAAAAGTGAAATTAAAGAAGACCCCTTTTCTTTGGCTGACAGAGAACGTTGAAATTAGTACATACCTATCGAGAGGATGCAGAGGACGAGGAGGAGGAGATGAGATTCGGAGGTGACGACCGCCATTGATGAATGCTCTGTGGAGGAAGCAAGAACAGGGGCAGAGTGAAGAGAGACAGAAGGATTGTCGAAGGAGGACTTGAGAGGTGAAGAGGGGTCGTGCGTGGGTAATTATATGTGGGGATGATGGCGAGATTCGCGCACAGATTTTGGTGTGTCTATCTTTTCGTGATCTTCCTTCCTGTTCAATCGTCTGTTCTTGGAGGGAAAGAGCGTGGGGAGATGGGGATGTGAATCGAGTCGCAATTCCCATGTTTCCCTAACTGATCCCGGTTCGATCATCATTGGCGTCCAACGTTGGCAAGGAGGAAGGACTTTTGCGACATTTTCCGATTATTATTTTATCGTGTTTCTTGATTGATTCCCTTTTGAGATTATGAGTGGGATCAAGATCACACATTTCGTCCCCTTACCACTTTCGCACGGGACTTCGACATTTTGACGAAATTACTCCGGAGCATCCGGACGATGAAATCACTAAAAAGAACAGGAGAAATGCTTATTTATCTGTCCTTAATTTATCGCGAAAAAAATAGTCTGTTTTGGGTCATAAAAAAATAAATAATAAATAATTAGAAATTATCGTGGAGTTCACTCTTTTAAGAAGTCGTGGCTCACACGTCACACCATGTTATTAATCTCACAATAATCCAAAGAATATTATGTTAGCAAATCCGGCATTCTAAGTAATACAATGACCTAGTCACAAAAACAGCGGAAAAATGGCAAAATCATGAACATCATAAGCCGTTGAAAAGTGAACAATAAACGATTGGGTACTCCGACACTGCAAGTAATTAACATAAAGGAGGTTACTTTAAGGATAATCCTTACTTTAAAGCCAGAAGAGAATAAAAATTATACCATAGCGATAAAGTTGATCCATCTGATGACGAACGTGCTCATTCCGATGCCCATCTATAATCTCTCTCTCTCTCTCTCTGAGGTCATACAACAAAAGAAAAAGAAAGAGGAGAAACGGTATGCTCCTCCGGCTACACATAATAGTGCAATCGAAGTTAAAAAAAAATGTTTTCTTATAAAAAACAAATCCTCTGATGCATCAATTGCTTCCACATTGAACTTGCTTGGTGAAGGAAGATCGGCAATGACCGCAGAAGGTCAATCCTGCACAAAAGCGAGAGTATCATAATAACTTCATACCTTTCATTGATGAAATCACTTTATCAAATTAAACAAGCATCATACTTTGTGTGATGTGCCTCATGTGCATTAGGAGGCTTTTCTCTACCGCCCTTCAATTGAATATTGGGTACACCTTTTGGTCTTTGCCGAAGGGGATCAAGTATTCGAACTTCAATATGATCATTACCTGTCAAAGATTACATTTTGTTTGTGATATGGGAGTGAAGACATAGTAAGGTTGTAGTTGGAAGCTCCTCCATAACATCATGATTTGCACCAACGTGTTGGAGAAACATTTCAAGAAAATTTTGATGATTCCAAAACTATCTTTAGTATAATATTTTACATTGATGATTGCAGATGTTTGTGATAATGTTTACAGAACTAAAATGGACCATGTATTTATTATGTCTGTAAAAATAGCACCAACGATTCTCTAAAAATCAGCTACAAGACAATATTTGCTTTAAGCTGAGGAGATCAGAAAGTTCATATTGTTATAGAAACGGATCATTTAATGTGATCGTTGATTCGCTATTATAGCCGTTGTGAACTAGACATATACAACAGAAGAGATGGAAGATCTGAGAATACGCCGTTTGACAGTATGTCAGAGCCACAACGACTGGATAGAAGCATAAGCTATTTTAGGTAGTCTGCAAATGTTCGAGAAAGATTGTATGGGCAGTAACATCTTCGGATAGCAGCACCAACGAACTCCTAACAGCTCTCTTGCTTCTCCAAAACAGCTTTAACAGTCCGTTTGAGGATGCCTATAAAAGAGAAGATCTATGATGCTAATAAGTAAGAGACGTTAAAGACACAAATCTAGAAATCTGCTACAAGTGTCTTTACCAAAAATCTCTTATCTGTCTGTGATTCTTGCTACATTGTAATTATGCTAAAAGATCAAGTGTATTGAGTAATATCAATTCCTAATTCCTAATAGAGTGATCTATCTTCTGAAAGGATTGATGTGTACTGGTTGTAACTTGTTCAGCAAATTACTAGTGTATTTCAACCCGACATGTGGCTATTAGTGGTGAGAGTGGACGTAGGATTGTGGATAAAGTTAAAACAACTATATATCTTTGTGTGTTATTATTTTTCTCTGTTTTAAATCACATAAGCGCACAATAAGCTCACTGTTTCTGAAACATCATCTTAATTTGATCTTTTCTTAGCATCGACTGTTTTCCACAAAAGTTGTTAAAATTCTTGAAACAACCTATTCACTCTTCCTCTAGGTTGTATTACTAACCCCATCATAATGTTCATAACATTGAAAGCCATCTACATCAACCTCTTCAAACACAATATTTTTGACTTCACCGCTGCATGAGAGCTTTGTCCAACATCACAATAAGTCCCTTGTTTTGCATCTTTTGTCCACATCTTCAGAAAGTATTGTGAGTGAATGCTTGTAACATTTACAACATGTGTCAAGATGCATAAAGTATGCCTACACAACCATCCTTGCATTTCAAATAACTTATAGCTACATGTAATGATTAAATCACTTGGACTAAAACAAATAGCATGCCTTCTTTCCTACTTTCAGTTGCCACGATATAAGTGTGTAATGGCCCATCAATTTCCGATCTACAAACAAACACAGTCAAAGCATGCAAGAACTCAACCTGGAAATTCCTATAAATGAACATGAGTGTCCACATTTGCAGCATGTATCAAAATTCCACTATTTTCAACCCTAATTTGCGACTTTCCTCGAGCACACTCAAAATCATCAACCACTTCAGAAATGAGCATTTTTTCAAATTGCTTCTCATAATAGTTGACAAATTTAGACAAAGTCATGATCTTACATGTCATATCTTGGAAGACATTATTTGTGTTCACTTCTTTGAGTGGATTTGCTTTCTGCAGAAAAAATATCCTAGCCAAATGCAAGACACCATTTATAACGCAGCCGATACACATTATCCAACCACTTCTTGTTCCTTCAAGCTCCATTACACATAACTTTCCAAACATTCTCCATTTCAAATTCAGATTCACAATGATATAAAAGCTTATGCCAATATTTATCGCAAAAATTCGATTTCTTGAGAAGATGCTCGATATGATGCATATCATTTTTCCCAATGTGCCATACACATAAACGGCGATTAGTATTCGGAAGTACGGTCTTAATGGCATTTTCCCTAGCATGATCTTGATCGGTAAAAAAAGTCTTGGGTGCTTATTACCCATTGCCTCTAAAAAGGATTGAATTGCCCAAACAAAAAGATGCAATAGTTTCATCCAATAAAAATGCATAACAACTTCCAATGACGATTCAACCCAACGAAAGGTGCACATACCATATTTTACTTATTTGTACGGTAAGTTGTATCAAATATCACCACATCCCCAAAATTTTTATAGTCCAGCTTGGATACACCATTAGACCAAAAAAGTTGGTTAGTCTCTTTTCCTCATCCAATTGAAATGTATAAGAAAAATTGCTTCCATTTGATTGTAAGCAATTAAAATGGTTAATGAGATTTTGACAATCACCCGCACTAATGAAGTCTCTTCTCTTCGATTGTAAGAAATTTTGACAATCACATCAAGTAAAGCCAACATGCTCTTGTCCCCCCGCTTCACCACTAAGATAGGAATACGCTTTCGTAGCCCTTATACCAGCTCCAGCCATAGAAGTCAAAATACTTTTATTAGTTACTACCATGTGCCACTATGATCGTATCAAGTGTTTCTATGTATCATCGATGAAGTGATGATTATAAACATCCTTAAAGTTGTTGACTACCCAAACTCCATCTTTGATTTTGAATTTTATGCAAGCTTGACATGCAATTCTCTTCATTGTCCTGTAAACATCCCTTTGTTCATGAAGTCGGATTGGTAGAGAGCGTTCTTTACAATTATAGAGAAATGTGCATGTTCTCAATATACCTTTACTATTGTTTGCCTTTTGTCCTCTTCTCACTCCAAATCCCTTGATAATTGCATATGTATTGTATGTCTTGTAAGCTTCATCCTCGTTAGCAAATGTCGTGCCAATTCTAAATTCAAATTCTTTATTAGCATTATGCACAATGATATTATCCTTTGCAGCCTCTATGAATTTTTAAAAGAAAAAAATCTAATCATTTAAAGGAGGCAGATAAAGTAAAAACAAACTTTGATTTTGAAGTCATCCATTTATCTTGAGAACAAATCAGCTAGCAGCGAAGTACTGAGAATAATATGTCGTAAATTTGTACAAATGTAAGTTAGTGACTTCAAAAGATTATGCATGTGCATATTTAAGTCATATTTTGTATTACTATAACCATGACAAGATCTCTACTCATAAACACCTACAAACTCTTGACAATAAATTCATATTTCACTAAGCTCCACCCACCAAATCTTCCTCCACCTTTACAAGCAAATCACAATAATCCTATACACAAGAAGAATTAGACACTATGCAAAATGGATCATCCACTCAATCATTGGACTGATTCTCTCATCCGTATCTTACATTTGAACCTCTCTCCTTCATTATCTCACTGTACATCGATAAGCAACTAATCAAGATTAGATACAACTCGAGCTCGTGTACTAATGGAGCTCAACATGAAGCACAGTAAGATGCAAACAACCATCACAAGCACGCTATTTGCTCTGATCAATTCTAGAGAGACAGACTATAACGTATACATACACTTACTCTTGCGCACGGAGGGGAAGCCACAGGCACTGCAATGGCTCTTCTAAAGGTGGAAGCTATGTTGTCCACACCTCACGCATAGCATGTGCATCTTGTTCCTTCTCTTACCAAAGCTCCTTGTTCCCTTACCCTATAAAGACAAGCATTTGCAACATTTTCTTTCTCAGTGATTCACCGTTAGGCAAGATAGATCAAGATTATATGCATAACATTTTCTTTCTCAGTGATTCACCATTAGGCGCGATAGATCAACATTATATGCACAAGCTAGAGAGAGAGAGAGAGAGAGAGAGAGAGAGAGAGAGAGAGAGAGAGAGAGAGAGAGAGAGAGAGAGAGAGAGAGAGAGAGGAGAGAGAGAGAGAGATGGAAGAGCGAGAAAATATTACTATGCGGCTAAGGAGGAGGAAGGAAAACCCTAATATGTTTGATGAAGAAATGCGAGCAGCGTGTATAATCTTAGAGAGTTTGTCGATAGGGCTTTGAGGTG